TGAGCGAGTGGCGTTGGAAGCCCCTCTTCCCCTGCAGAGCCCTGCCCGGTCTGCGAGGCACGCCCTAGGGCTGTTCTCTTCCTTCCTAGGTCTTGGTCTGGAAGGAGCTTGACTATGGCTCCATGACCGAGGCAGAGAAACACATGCTCGTTTCGGAGGTGAATTTGCTTCGCGAGCTGAGACATCCGAATATCGTCCGCTATTACGATCGCATCATCGACCGGAGCAGCACAACCCTGTACATCGTGATGGAGTACTGCGACGGCGGCGACCTGGCTAGCTTGATTGCCAGGTGCACCAAGGAAAGGCACGTGAAGTCTGTTTGTGGCCATTTCGGGGTGTCAGCGTGGAGCGTCTTGGGCAATGGGAAGTAAAAATTCAGTGACGTGTGTCTCTGAACACGCTGGGTCTATCCCTTGGGCCCAACGACCTCCCTGTAACGGGAGGGGGTTGTGCAAAACACACAGGGGTGCAGGGTGGTGCGGGGTGCTAAAAACAAACCAGCAAGTCACGGTTCTTGCAGATGGGTAGTTTGAGCTTGTGGGTTCCTCTGGCCTGTCCATCAGTAAAACCACTTCTACCCTGGTTTTTTGTTAGAATACCAAAATACCTGAAAGGGAAAAGTGATGTTGAACACGATGTTAAAAGCTACTTTTATGTGCCTGTGTGCAAAGCTCGTGGAGACACCAGGCTGAAAAGGCTTTGCCTTGGTCTCACCTTAGACTTAGCAGCCTACTTAAGTATAATATTGGTTTTCACATTCTTTGGTTAAACAAGTACGTGACACCACCGGTGTTACTTTGTGAGAATAGTCTAAAATGGTAGTGCAGCTGCCCCAAACACATCAGGGTTTTCATTAAGGGAGTTTATATTAAGAATCAGCCCTGTCTTGGCTCTGTTGTTGTATGTTGCTTGTAACAGTTTCATAAACAGCTGACAATGTACAGTTATTGTAAGTGATCAAAAGGGCAGATCTCATCACAAAAGCATCAAATGGATGTTTGTTGTGTGTAATGAAAATGCTACATGTCTGTTAGAGCCTTTGGGGAAGGATGGAAATATTACAGGGATTCTGCAACAAAAGTCTAGAGGTCTTCCAACATATTTGGGGTGATTTTTTTTTTTTAGATTTCCATTTTTTAAATAGCAAATGTAGAGACCTGTTGCTGTTAATTTTCTATAAAAGTGCTGAGGTTGATTCAGTGATGTTTTTTTAACAGCAGCATATTAAAAGTTGCAGAACTAAGACTGGCAGCAACTACCTAAGCTGATGTAAACTCAGAATATGTTTATTAAACAATGTGTTCATCTTCCAGGCGTTACTTAGAAGAAAGCTTTGTTCTCAGAGTATTGACTCAATTGACATTGGCCTTGAAGGAATGTCACAGACGGAGTGATGGTGGAGTCACTGTGCATCGTGACCTAAAACCAGCAAATGTCTTCCTCGATGGCAAGCAGAATGTGAAACTTGGAGATTTTGGACTGGCTAGAATATTGCACCATGACACCAGCTTTGCCAAAACATTTGTTGGAACTCCGTATTATATGTCTCCAGTAAGACCTCCCTTATGTTCCCTTTTGTCCCTCCAAGATCTGTTTCTGCAGTATTGGCCCCAGAGTCCATGAATGTTTGAGAGGTTTTAATGAACAGTTATTAGTATTAAATGCAGGTGACTTTTTTCATAGTGTACACATTTTTGAGACAAGGTTATTTTGCAGTTAATCTTTTTTTTTTCTTCTCCACACTGTCACTGTCTTCTAATTAAAGTTGCTCTTCACTGTATAATTTTTGGGATGTTCTTAGCATATTAGAGATACGATGGAGTATGTTGTTTCTGAAAAGGAATAGGGAAGCCAGAGCATCTTTGTTTCATAGCGTGAAGGTTAAAGTGCCTACTTAATTGCCTCTTGATGGTAGGATTTTAACTTGCAGTGGAAATGAGCAAAACTGAGTTATTTCCCCAATATGGTGCATTTTGTGTGGGAGAGATTAATATTGGCTGAAATATGGAGTTGTATCCACTGCAGATTGGTGTAGCACTTCAGCCTTCCACAGTGGAGTACTGCCTGTTTTTAAAATCCTGCTAGTAAGAGTAGCTGTGGCAATTAAGATGGAATCTTATAAGTAACCCCAGTAAGTTATGGTTTACTTCAGGTTTGAACAGTAGCTGATTATCTTGCAATAGTAGAACAATGACTTATTTAATAAACCTAAGATTATTCTCTTTCTTTAGGAACAAATGAATCACATGTCATACAATGAAAAATCTGACATCTGGTCTCTAGGATGTCTCCTGTATGAATTATGTGCTCTCTCGTAAGTATAGTAGTGTGGTTATGGATATGGAAATGTAGCTGTTGATGCGTTTATGGTTAAATTTTGTATAGATGAAAGTGCAAAGGTTTTGGAGACTAGACCTATGTTTTTATTTCTGAATTGGTCTTGACATCAGGTGGTTGAAACAAGCTTTTAATTGTGGCTTTTCTTAGTCTGTTAATTTTTTATTAAAAAAGTCCTGTAAAACCAATGAAAGGACCCAAGAAAAATGTTGTTCTTCAGGCCTCCATTTAGAGCTTATAACCAAAAGGAGCTGGCAGAAAAGATAAGGGAAGGGAAGTTCAGACGAATACCATATCGATACTCAGAGCAGTTGAATGAACTTCTCAAAGAGATGCTGAATGTCAAGGTAAGACTCCGTTACTAATTATTCCACCCACAGTTTGAGTACTGAAATACTAGTTTTCCTTCTCAGTTATGAAACTGATCTGAAGTAGGGGTTGCATCACCTTGTCACTGGCAATATCACTTGTAGGGGAAGGAGAGAGGAATCGTGCTTTGAATCCATTAAAGGCAGCAGCTCAAGTGGTATGCCAGGTTCAAAGGATGCAAAAAGGCTGTCTCAATACTGGCTTACACAGAATTTCCTAACAGCATGCTTAGTAAGGCCTTAACTCCAGGGTTAAAAGGGTTCCAGCATGTTCGGAAGTTGGAAGGGGTTGATGTGTCTTCATCCTGGATTTTGCTTTATATGGCTAATGTATAGCTCTCCCTCCATGCCTGGCATGGGGATGTTAAGAATACTGCATGGGACAACAAAGCTATAACAAGAACCCAGCGTCCAAAAGGGTATGGTTCCTCCAGGAATCAAGTGACCGGTGGAGATTCAGAGTGTTAGCTCCAAATCTTCTGACAACTACCTCTGTATGCTCACCACCCCATTCTGGCTCTGAAAGGAGTGGTTGTCTGGACTAGGAGGGACACAGTTGTGGCTTCTGGAGCTGAAGGCTGGCAACAGCCTCCTCCCTCAGCTTTTATCTAGTTGCACTATCCCTTCTGAACTCCACTTTTCCTCAGCTTTTCCTTCACTGCATAGCTCCTCAGCTGGTTTCCACCTGCAGTGGGTCTTGCTTGGGAATCCCTGGCCTTGATGTTTCTTGGTTACAGATGGAACCTGTTGGTAATGTCTTTCCTTTAGGATTACTGCCGGCCGTCTGTGGAAGATATTCTGCAGCACCCCTTGATAGCAGACTTGGTGACAGAAGAACAAAGACAAAATTCTGATAAAAGAGGCTGGAGATCATGGGAGCCAGAAAGGCTGCAGCATTCAGATGCTGCTGTGAATGAGCTGAAACGGAAGGAACAACAGTTACAGGAGCGAGAACAAGCCATTAAAGAGAGAGAGCAACGTTTGGAACGTAAGATATTCCGCTTCGGGCAGGGGGTGGCAATGGGATTTTGATTCAAAAGAGTAAGCGCAGAGGAAGGAAAGGTGCATTAAAATGAGGGGTTTTAAAACTGTATACTAGGATAGCACACTCCTGCACTCACTACTAGGATTCTGTCTAAAGACTAAACCAAGAATGTTTGGGCTTACTCATTTATACTAGTTCTTGTTTTAAGTCACTATAAGAGGCAGTTTGGATATAGAAGTCTGGTGTGGGAAGATTATTGAACATGAGGGGCAATTAGGAAAGTATACAGAAAAATAGGGTCTGAATATATTGTTCTGCACTATGCAGTGTAGGTTGCTTTTCACCTACTCTAAGTGAACATTGCATATACTAATATGTAACTAAGGCTACACTAAGTCTGATGTTAGAGCAAAATATACATGAGTAAACTGCTCATAGATGGCTGGCCCTCAAGTGCTGGGATTACCTGCCCACATAAAATACCTCTTTGCATATGCAGTAGGCTCTGGAATACTGATTTGAGCCATACATATTGTTTTCTGAGCCTGAGTAACAGCTACTGCTGGTGTAAACAGGGTGTTCAGTCATAGCTGAATTAGAGTATCTGGTATCTAAATGTTTATTTAGGTCTGGTGTCACACATGCCATGGAGTTAATGTGCAGAATAGAAAGCTGCTACAGCTTCACTGTTGAGATACGGCAGAGCTGGTGGAGGTGGGGAGGAGCATACCTGGCAGTTCAGAGCACTTGTCCAGTGGTTTATCAGTGCATTGGTAAAGGTGTACCTACACAGCAGCTGTCTGGCTTTGTTTAGAGTCACAGAACCAGAAATATGGGTGCATTTGACAGCATATGACAGCTTTTTCTGCAAGAAAATCCATCATGCACGTTCACTCTAACGTTAACATTTTAACACTGCATACTACCATATCTCTACTTCCAGAGAGAGAACGGGAACTCTGTGTTCGAGAGAGACTGGCAGAGGACAAACTTGCTAGGTATCTAACCAACCTATAATTGTCTAGATTAGGAACCCTACAGTCATACAACAAAAAGCTTAAAGTTCTCTTTTCAAAACAGAGCCGAAAACTTGATGAAGACCTACAATGTCTACAAACAGCAGAGGGCGTTAGCTTGTGCAGATGCTTCAGGTATGAAAATATGCAAGCAGCCACTTGCAGCGATAAATGTAGGCTGGCATGACCAGAAAAATGCCCGTGATGCTCAGCATGATGTACCTAGTCCCACTGTAGCAATACAAACACCAATTTTCTATTCATGGTTGGGAAGAGACTTCTGATTTTCTGCTTCACACAAAGACTTAATCAATGATGCTCAGCCGTGAATATGAGTGACCACAGTCAGCACTGCAGTCTTGAGCTGTTTTGAAAATTACCTTCTTGCGATAAGCTAATGGAAGTGCTGACTTGTAACCCAAACTTTCTCAGTGGTATTTATTTTACTTATGGATGTATTTTTATAGACCTTTAATTTAGTTAATTTTAATAAAATTACACATGTTATCACTTAAACTTTAGTTCAACTTCCAAGAACTTTAAGGTGGGAAATAGTGTTTGTTGCAAGTGACCCAGCTATGATTGGCTCATTGTATGAGCTCTGAAGAATACAAACTGCTATTATCATACTCCAGTTTTACTCACTAAAAAAGGCTTTTCTCAGTGGTGTCCAGTGACAGGACGAGGGGCAATGGCCATAAACTGGAAAACAGAAGGTTCAACCTGAACATGAAGAAACCCTTCTTCACTGTGAGGGTGACAGAGCATGGGAACAGGCTGCCCAGTGAGGTGGTGGAGTCTCCTCTGGAGACTTTCAAAAGCTGCCTGGACTTGTTCCTGTGTGATCTACTCTGGGTGATCCTGCCCTGGCAGGGGGGTTGGTCTAGATGATCTCTAGAGGTCCCTTCCAACCCCAACCATTCTGTGAAAATATGCTACAATGCTTCCTTACTACCAGTAGTCCAATCTGAGTTACAGTAGTTATTACCCTGGCAGTACTTGACTCTCACTTTGGCCTTGATTGTCCAGTCCTCACTATCAGAAGAGGCAGTATCATCTGTTTGTTGCACCTATCTTTAATAGTAAAAACGATTCAAGTATCTAAATACATTTTGCAATACTGATGGAATATTAAATGGCTGGGTCTTAATTAGTACTAAAGAAATGGGACCACCCTTTAACATGCAGCAACACTCTCATTTAGTTTTGTTCAGATGAAGTAAGATAAGCATGTCACTGCCTCTAATACAAATAAATATAAACTTGCAGTTTTTCTAAGAAGTGCCTACCTACCACAGCAGGAAGGGACACAAGTAAAATGCCACCACAAGTTAGTGGTACTTGAGCTATTTCTAACACTCCTGTCCATTTTGAGAATTCTACCTGTCTTAATGTCTTGTCTGATTTTGATACATTAAAGAATATAAAATTAAGACTTGAACCTGCCTGGGGCTTTCTGATGTTGCCTCTAGCCTTGGATGACTGAAGGTAAATGAGCTTCAGCATTTGCTTCTGTTCTTTTCTGCATCTCCCACCCCTTTACATGACATTAATCTTAACAGTATTAATTTTTGAAGATGGGCAAAACCACTTTGAGTAGTTAATACCTCAAGACAGACAATGCAGAAAAGTGGATGTAGTTACTACAAAAGTGATCAAATCTTGCAGTATCTGTATATCACTTGATTAAATGCTTATCACCATGCTTGTAACTTCAAATTCATTCCATGGTACTCTTGCAATACTGTTTCTAAAGTTATCCCTGTATATGAGTGGATGAAGTTTCTCCAGCATGTTGTCAAAATGGCTTCAGTTACCCTGAGACTTTCACAACTGGATTGCATCTCACATCTTAGTTCCCTAACTTCTCTTCAAGGCCAGTTGTCCATTTCACTTCACAGTAAAATGGAATACCAAAAATCCTGGTTTCTAGGACAGTGTCCTAGACACTACCCTATTTCTGCAGGGATTTGCTGATTCTTACGGAAGGATTTGATAAAACAGATATAGGTACTGACACAAAACTACAAAATGCTGAAACATTCACCAGCTGCTTTACTCTGGTCCTTTGCACTTTCCTGTGCTTATTGCATCCTTGCTCTAGCCTAAGGAATGGAAAATAAAGGCTTCAGAAGAGTTATGATTAGGATAGTTAAACCTTTGATAAGGTCTGATTTTTTTTTTTTCTTTCTGAGTTTAGTCTTGAGAGGTTGTGATGAGACAACTCAGCTGTTTTAATATCTTTTGATGGCAGTTTTTGTACCTGAAATCATTAAACCCAAAACCTAACTGCCTCTTGATTGTGGCAGCTCTATATGGCTAAAACATAGCTATGCTATGAAAATTCCTGGCTGGAGGCTACAGTGAAAGTAACTTACTAAATGATTAACACACCTAAACTCATCATTCATCAAAACAGAGTGTAGTTTGTACCCCCACTGACTTAATAGAAGGACAGAGTCAGAACAACGTGGGTAATCGGAAAGACTGCTGGACAGGTTGAATCTGCTGTTGCTATGAAGGCAAGACAAGTGTGTTTGGTATCTGAGAGCCTAATTCTCCATTTCCTTTTGGATCAGGATTATGTTACCATCCTGTCCCTCAGAACATACTCCATGTCTTTTCTCCTTATGTCAACTCTAATATCTCCTTAGGTGTGTTGGGAGGTGCACCCAAGAAACTACAGTGGCATATATCCTTTTACCACAATTACTTAAAAGCTTTGTTTTCAGTTTTCCTTACAAAAACGTAAAAGAATTGTTGCTATGAACTGAAATGTGTTTAATTAGGTTACTTAAAAGCTATAGGTAGTTAGCATAATGAGTAACAGGGTTAAGACATTAGCTAAGCAGTAAGTTCTGAAAAATGTCTTAATTCTGTACTTATTTTTTTATTTCTTAAGATAATGCAGCCCGGCACCCCTTTTCTACAACCAAGAAGAAAGTACACTTCGATGGAAGCGAAGAGAAAGCTGTGTCTACTGCTAATATAGAAAACTGTCCCCTTTCCAAAGGGAAATGCTCTGATCTCAGAAAACGTCTATATGCTGCAAATCTACGGGCTCAAGCGCTGTCTGAGCTGGAAAAAAACTTACAACTAAAGAGCAGACAAATCTTGGGCATGCGCTAGAACTGTGACATAGATGTACAGTATTTAACTTTTTAGAGTTGGTTAAATGCACAGAAAGACCCTTGTACCTCCTGCTTTTAAACTGGAACCTGCTGAAAACATATTTTAACAGTTGTTACACAAACCCTTAGTGTATGATAGCTAGTTTGTGATAGGGGCATAAGAGACTGTATTATGGAAACAAATAGCTTCGATACCAAACAAGCTGAAAGCATTGCATTATTAAAGAAAAAAAATATTTTGGCCCTCCTTCTGGTTACCATACATTACTCTTCTGAAAATACAGGGAAGGAATATTGTCAAACAGACTTTAAATCTGGTGTGAAAAACTTTTCAAATGAGAAACGTAGAGGGATTCACAACCTGTAGGTTAAAATGATGCTGTATGTAATGTAAAGTACTTGATAAAAGAAGTATTGCTATTTTGTATATGTGGAAAAACAGTGGCTTGTTGTCTGCACTTGTAAATATTTTTTAACTATCAAACGAGCAAAAAGGTATTTTATGCAATTTCTGACATGTATTTTATGTAAAGATTTCCTGCCTTTGAGTTGAAATGCCATAGAACACCCATTCTTAGAAAACAGCTGATTTTCAAAACATTTGTTTCCTTACTGGGCCATGAATGTTGTCTAAGGAGGACTTCTAGATAGTTCTCACTTGAAAAAAAGAGAATCTTATTCAAAACATCAATTTAATTTGGTGCATTTGCTGATCAACAAGTGCTTACGTCACCAAGCCATAGTTCTGCTCTAGCAGATTCTTTTAACTACCCCGCAGCGCTTTGCTTTACCTAAAAGAATTAGAATATGACCATTTGGTTTGCTGGTCTCAAGCTACTGCTGTTCTGGCAGCCATCACCCTGCGCTCGGTGTGGTCGGAAGGGTCTGGCAGGTGTGCACAGCCCAAGTAGCTGCGCCACGTGGATCGGTGCAGCTTTCCTGCATGCTTTCATATTGTTTAAGATTCTGACACGTATTTGGAGGGTGAATCCCTGCTTTCTCACCTTGTTTGTATAGTGAGGATTTTCTGTTCTGTGCCTCAAGCAGAAGATCTGCAGCGCAGTTCTACCGGCCTTCATGTGGAAGGGTCTTTGTTGCATAGCCTATAAACCAGCAAAGGGTAGAATATGCAGCAGTATTACTCTGATCTGAAAAAATATGTAGGATACAAGAATTTTATTGTATGCTTGGTCATCTGCATCTGTATACTTTGTCAAGCGTAGGAGGAAACTAAACAGCCGAGAAAATAAATTCGTAATTAATGATTCAGGAAAGACTGTATTGTGAAATGACTGGGGTTTGAAAATGCTTTGCTTTTAATGAGGCCAAACTAAGCAAAAACCTTCAGAGCAATACCTGCAGTTTTCCTCTTTAATTCTCTACTGACCTCAAGATGGCACTGCTGTCCTGGAATTGTTGTGAACTTCCTTCAGTCTGCTGACAACATTCAAGCAAAATTTAAGATCTGATTTGAATATCTTTTTACCTGGTTTGTGTCAGAAAATCCTAAGTGTGTTGCTGCAAGATATTGATTTTCTTAGGCTACAGATGCATTAGTACTTGCTGGTGCAATTAATTGTAATTATCTCCAATTTGCCATTTTGCATCTTTTATGCATATTTCATAAAAATAGTTGAATCAAAGTCTTGGTTAACAATTATACTATGAATAAGAAATGCCACAGAGAGTGCAAACTATCAATCGCAATGGCAGTAATAAATGAGAACAGCTTAAGTTACAGCTGTAGCATCGAGCTGTTGAAGCTGCCTTACTCACAATGTGTTCTTGCAGTATTATCATCTCATATGATAAATGCAGTGTCTCTTGAGGTTTTTGAAATAGGAACATCCTACCAGTATAAGTCAAATATTGGGGAAGGCATTCTGGACGACCTGGACTTGTGCAAGGCATTTGACAGTGTCCTGCACAATATCCTTGTCTCTAAACTGGAGAGACGTGAATTTGATGGATGGACTGCTCAATGGATAAGGAACTGGCTGGATGGTCACACAAAGAGTTGTGGTCAATGTCTCAGTGTCCAAGTGAAGACCAGTAACGAGTGGCGTTCCTCAGGGGTCGGTGTTGGGACCATGGCTGTTCAACATCATTCTCAGTGACATGGATGATGGCATTGAGTGCACCCTCAGCAAGTTTGCCGATGACACCAAGCTGTGTGGTGTGGTCGACACGCTGGAGGGAAGGGATGCCATCCAGAGGGACCTGGACAGGCTGGAGAGGGGGGCCACTGCCAATCTCATGGAGTTCAACAAGGCCAAGTACAAGGCCCTGCACCTGGGCTGGGGCAATCCCAAGCACAAGTGCAGGCTGGGTGGAGAGTGGATAAAGAGCAGCCCTGAGGAGAAGGACTTGGGGGTACTGGTGGATGAAAAGCTGGACATGAGCTGACAGTGTGTGCTGGCAGCCCAGAAAGCCAACTGTATCCTTGCTTGGCCAGCAGGTCGAGGGAGAGGATTCTGCCCCTCTACACTGCTCTGGTGAGACCCCACCTGGAGTGCTGCATCCAGCTCTGGGGCCCCCAACATCACAAGGATATAGACTGGGTTCCCATCTGTAACAGGCTCGTCACAGGGGGATGCTCAGAGACAGCACTGGGATACCACACAGGTCTGCACTTGGGGCAGATTTTTGGTGGCAGTGGTGCAGCCTGCTTTGGGCAGTTGTACAAGTACTGGGGAATTGAATTTACTGGGAAAATAGCAGTGAGTTACTGAAGTAATTTATTTAATGAATTTTAAATAAATTCACCAGTCCCTTCTCCTGCCAGTTGACCAGGCCATTCCATGTGACTGCAGCGCATAAAGAGTGAGAAAGTGCTGGCTAGCTAGGCGGATAAAATGCTTAAAGGAAATCAGGCTTAGCACAGAGGACCGTCAAGCTTCTTCCTAAACATAAACATCAATAGGTCATTTAATCCATAGTAGATCATTTAACAGGTGGAGAGATAAACCCCTCTGGAACAACTAATTATAAAATATTTTATCATAGGGAAATTCACATTTTTGCCTTTTACTGGGTGAGTAACCCAGGAGGAAGTGATCTGGTCCTAATAATGGCACAAGCCGGCTCACAGCCACTCCCCGCAAGACTCAATCTCCTTCAGTTTCCTGCAGGTATGAGAAACGGTGCAGAGCAGCAGCTCCTTGCTATTGCTCTTGTCTTCATCTGAAAAAGAGAGATTGCTCCTCACTTACGCTGCTTGTCATCCTAGTGCCTGTGTGTACTTCTTGCTCTGCTGATAAAGATGAAGTCCGTTTCCCAGTGAGCAAGGCTTCTAGCATTCATAGTCCAAACTACAGTGGGACCCAGTAATGGTACAGTGACAGCCTTCCGGCTGTGTCTTTGTCTTACTCTTCCCTTGTGTAATTTGTGTAAAGCCAGAGGAATCCTAGTAGCTATAAAGCTGGGGTATCAGGCATAGAAGCCGAAGCCTGCCCTGGAAGCCTGCTCAATAGGCATTTCGGCACCGTGGAAGACTTTGGCCTAATTAAGGCTACATACAATCGGGTATTAGAAGTGAGCTTTATTTATATATTTACCTTAAAAGTTAGCTGAAAGTTAAATTTTAATCTTTACAACTTTAAAAAGCTTCACAGACTGATAGCGTAACGCCACATATTGTTAACTGCTTTTCCATTTAATCTTGCTTTCAGCCAGATCAGCAATGCTGAGAAGTTACTATACCAGAGGCAACAGTGCCTTTATCTGACATATTATTTTGAAGGCAAAGTGCGCTTCTGAGGCTCAGCTGCCATGAAAGGATGAAGCTTTGTTGGGAAGAAAAATCCTTTGTATTCTACAAACTGGAATCATGCCAGAGTTTTATGACATAAAGGGAAAAGAAAGGCACAGGGATATCTAGAATTAGCTAGCTCCAGAGTCTTATTTTTCAATGTAGGCTCTTTCTGGGTAATAAAACAACATACTTATGAAAACTTCTGGCTAATTAATTTTTGACTGGTTCAATTTTTGACTGATGGATGATGCTTGTTGCTGGAGTAGGGTCGTCTGGTTGGAGCTGGGTCAGTTTATGGGCCCAGTTACTACTTCTTTGTTCTCTACTATGAATATAATCTTGGTCCCAATGCATTATGCCTACTCCCTTGGCAAATGAAACTCTGACTTGGACATGACTTGCAGTGAGTAATAACCAATAATGCAGTTTCCACAACAACTTTCCTATGTAATTTTTTGTCATAAAATTAATGCAACGTGCAGATTTATGAAGAATATGGTGGGTACTTAGCAGGTGCTTGAATACTTAGCTAGAGCTAGTAATTCTTTTCCATTATTCACTCTAATCTGAAAAACCCTTATTTGCAAAGATAGCTGCTAAATACTTTTTACTGTTTAATCAGCTCTTTCAGCAGGTCCTGCTCTTGTAAGGTCAGCAGAAGCAAGTTTATGCATAATACAATTTTTGGCATGTGTTTGTGTCATTCGAGGTCCCAAGGACACAACAGAAGCCCAGTAAAGCCAATGACAAGCTTTCCTTCAAATTCAGTGAACCCTTGGCTGGACTTCAACTTCATTAGCATTAGACATACTAGACATTTGTAAATACTTACACTTGCTTGCTATTTGGGGAGGAAGAGCATTGCCAAAGGCAAAGCAGGAACAAACAATCCATCTTCCTCAACAGAAGTGAAGACAAGACACTTTAGGTAGAGCTCTCGATCTTGGCTTCTACCAAATCGGACTTTCCTTGACAAGAATTTGCATCATCAGCCCTCTGGGAAGCCTGGGTATGGCACAGACCTCTACATGGAGTTGTACGTAGTATTAGGGAATAGTGAATGCATTTTTTTCTGCTCATAATGCATTTTCTCATCCAATCACAAATAGGAGCAGTATTGTCTACCTGACCTCTTGGCTCTTTGCTAGACCATCAGGGAAGACTCAGTGACCCCAGAGCTAGCTGGCAATTTAGGTCATCCAGGAAGTTTAGAAAATCCTTCCTGACAAATGCAAGTGTTAAAGTCACTGACCGACTTGAGTGCTAATTGCCATGTAAAGTCTT